AATCATGGGGATATAAGGTGGTTGTACGTACCTCAACAGTGAGGCTTGAACGGATCTGTTTAGTGGGACGAACGCCGCCCGGTGATTTCCCGGAAGCTGCATAGGGTGAAGAGCCATGTAAATGGGATAAAATAACGCACCACGAGATAAGGATAAATAAGAAGAATATGTAGAGGCTTACATGCTCGACGCTTTGCAGAGTCCTGCGAAGGAGGTACGTTGAACTCCTCATCGTCATCATTATTGTCAGCTGCACCACGCTCACACTGGGTTATGTGGCTAATGACGTTGGCTGCCAAGTCGTTAAAATATCGAACCTCTTTGGAATTCCAGGCCAATTGGAACAATGGTGTTACTACGCCGTCTGTTGCGGTGAAGTGCTTAAAAGCATTGGGAAGCAAGAAATCACAACACGCTTTCACATCTGCAATATCCTTCTCCGAGAGGTCTGCGAGTCGCGAGTGTAACCGCGGGTAGTTTTTTGAAAAGGCCAGAGGAATGGGCCATTGTTGTGCTAGGCCGAGCTGGCGTGAGGCAAAGTGGGGATTGTAGACCTCGATACTGAGATCGGTCGAGGCTTCAGGGGCAAAGAGCATGTCTCTCGCCACTATCCAGCGAGCCTACTCTTCCACGTACCAGTTGTAGTCACCGAGGGAGGCGTCTCCTTCTGGCGGTTTTTGGTTGAAAGCAAGCCTGAACGACGGAGGTCCAAACAGCCGAGCTTCAAATGGAGTAAAGCACTCGACGTCTCCGGCTTCGTAAAAAACCGGGAAGTATGTAGCAAAGTCCTTTTTCAATGGGGGAGCTTTGGCGTAGTAATGGCCATATGACAAGATCGCGGTATCGTGAGCCATGTCGGCGGGGGCAGGCAACGAGCCCCGTACGACAGGAAAATAAGCATATAACCACAACTGCAACAACCAAAGAGGGCCCGCGCCGGTGACTTGCTTGGCCTCGGTGGCTTTCTTGATCTGTTGGACGGTCAGGTACATACCCCGATAAAGGTGACATAGCACCACTTCAGCAAGGTTCTCGCATTCCCCGGCAGCAATTTGGTAGGTGGAATAAATCGCTTGCACTGGTTGACCGCCGTCGGGACAGAGAATGAATTTGTTCAACCAGTAATGGATAAAGTAGGCCCGCTCCCCATCGGTGATCGGTGCTGCAGGGTCAGTTGGGGAATTGGTGTTGTAGAGCGAGCGGTAGGAGCGATCGAAGGGAATAGGGTTATCACGGTTGAGAGGGAGTCTAGCGATGGTAGGAGAGCGATGACGGGAGAGGCCAGTTAACGCGACGACGTCGAGCAAGGTGACTGTCATGGTTCCAAATGGGAAAACGAAGCTATTGGATTCTGTGACCAAGAACATATGGCAGCTTTGAATAAATCGGCATCTGGTAGGGGAGGATGGGCACAAAGAGATAAGAAGCGATCTATGCCAGCATCCCTCCAATGAGAGGTAGTGGTTTCATCAGCAAGTAGGCGACAATACCATCTCACAAAATCTTGTCCAGAGAGAGCCCATGAAGAGAGAGTTCGTTTCGGTTTCTGTTGGGCAAAGAACGGAGTTGGTGCGTGACGGAGCAGTAGCCTGGCTTGGGAAACAGGATAAACATCTAGCTTGTTTATGGACTCATCGTCACGATCGGTTATGACAGGGCCGTGCAAACCCTCACCCTTGTCCGTTAATAAAAGGGTGTCAAGTTCTATGGCGGGTGAGTTGTCCAAGTTCCTCCATCTTTCCTGTGGATCATCAATGCTGCATATATGAGCCGCGAGGTCGTGCGGTGGTGGCCTGCCAAGAAAAGAGCCAGGTATGTTTAGTCATTCTCATGATCGGAGGGATAACTCCCAGTCACACGCCGAGGCAAGTAGCGGCAGCGTAGAAAGCGTGAATCTACCAAGAGCAGGTACGTTGTCTTTTATTCACAAGATCATGATTGCATAAACAATATACGTGCCAAAGGTAAAACTAAACAATGAAGCAAGAACATATATATATATATATATGCATGTAGTTATTCTCCCGCAAGTTTGCATGGTGCATATGTACTAGCCCCATATATATATCTAATGTTGCCGTGTAATTAGCGAGTAACGAGAAGGGAATGAGAAATTCAAGTACTGTTTTTGGGGAGGTGTGCGGCCGCCGGGAGCCATGTCGGTGCCGTGGCGGATGATTGCCGGCTGGATTTTGTATGCTCGAAGAAGAGGAGGGTGGTGGTTTGGTGAGTATTGCCGCAGGTCGGCAAGGTTGGGAATGAGTTATGGAGTTGGCATGTCTGTTTATTTATAGGATCATCGGGCCTTGATTAGGAATATTAAGCTTGTAAGGAAAAGGATAGCCTGGTACTCTTTTCATCGTGGGAGAAGGCATGGCCTCATAGTTGCAGGGCTGGCATTTCAAGGGCACGAGAGTTGTTTGATAAAAGGGGTTCCAGATTAGCCAAATATGATTATTCCCCTAGCCATTGTCGTTGAAGAGTGGGGGTGGTGATTTGCTAATTAATTGCAAGGAGGTTCTCATGTTTGAAGCATTAATGTTTGGCTCAACAGTATCACAAATTGGGTTTGGAATTCATACAGCCCAAGGAACATACGTGTTTGCCATGCTTGTTCTCTTCACCGTAGGATTGCTTAAGTGAAAAGAAACAGAGGCAACAAAGGCGTTTAGGGAGTTGCCCCTAGCATTGTTGCGTTGGCCGTCAACGACGTTGCCTGTCTCATAAAGTAGTAAACACTAGTGTTGTGAGGTGTGCGTGGTTGCGATATTGATTTTGGCAGTATCATGGATAAAGAGGGAAAATCATATAAATAAATAATTTGGCCACAACGTTGGGTAAATTTAAACAACATCAACACTGTGGTTAGGGTGTGTTGCGGGTATACTGCTCGATGTTGGAGAAGGAATGTTGTTTCTTCCTTGTTGAGAAAAGAAAAGGTATTATTTATCGGGTAGCTAGCAAGACCGGCTTGTACGTACATAGCCATGCTTTGCCAAATTGGTTTGGTATAAGGTAATGCCACTCTCGCCATGTACCAGTGGTATATGTTTCCGCAACTTTGTTTTGTATGGAAACAATATTGTCTAGTGAGAGGAAATTCGCTTGCGAGCCAAAAGAAAAATTTTGACAAAACGAAGTTGTTTGGGCAAACAACAGTGTGGGTTTGAGCGATGACAACACGAATTGACTTGTCAAAACGCTATGGATTGGGAACGAGTTAGCTGAGGCAGGATTGCGGGTATAACTCCAATGAGGTTGTTTCCTTTGCTCGCAACGCGGCGCGAGAAAGTGATCTTGTGGGAGAGGCCATGTAGGCTACTGAAATTAAATGGGGAATAAATAATTAAAAACATTATAAATCTTTTCTTGTTCCTTGTTGGGGTGAAACGCCGCTGTTTAGATGATAAACAGTGCTGCGAGGCAGGAGACGCCCTCACACGCTAAAACACAACACCTAACAATGGCCAAGTGTAACCAATGAAAGGGACTGCAGTATAGTGGCACAAGTAATAAATATCGAATCCACGGTTCTCTAGAGTTACTATTACTCAGCTTCAGTTCATTATCTAGCAAACTAGATTAAGGATTGATTGATAAACTACTCTACTGACTACTCTACTAATTACAAGTTGGGAACTCACTTAGGTACGATTCCCCCTAGCTCCTCAATTAGGTCCAAGTTGCAATTACCTTTGGTTGATCTACTGTTGATTAAACTGCGGAAGATCCTAAATTAGCTTGGAATCTCTTAAGCTGACCAAGCCCTCTCAGTCCAACTACCCGGCAGACGACTAGTCTTCACCAGGATAGAAAGCTGAGGCTATGAACGCAGAACTCCACTAATGGAATGAATTTCAGTACAAAACAGTGAATTGATTGACTCTCGCACAACCAATTTACCACTATCAATCAAGGAAGCTCTCTTAACCTAATCATATTCTATCTATCATAGGTTAAAGCAGAAATCAAGAGAATTTGATCAAGATTCAATTGACTCAATAAATCATGCCTCAATCGATTATAATCAAACAATATAGCATCCAAAACTTCATACAAGAAAGATCCTAACACATGGAACTAGGGTTCCTCAAAACCTAAGTGAAGGGAAGTTACTCCATAGAGAAGAGAGAGACTGCAGAAATCTGATCTAGATCTTCAATCTCCATCTCCAAGCTTGATTCCCGAGCTCCAATGGCGAAGAAATCCTCCAAAATAGCTCCAAGAATGTTCCCAAGTCGCTCTCTCTCTCTAGGGTTCGTCCCTTGGGTGTTTGGGATCCAAAACCCAGCTCTCCCCCTTTCCTTTTGCTGAAAATCGGGTTTTAAACATCAATTCCCGACTCACACGGCCGTGTGGCTTTCCCAGCTGCCCGTGTGAAGGCTCGGTGAATTGATTGCGAGGGAAGGAGTTTGGCCGTTGCGCCTACTGCTGCTGGGAAGCTTCGAAGGCAGCGAAAGGATCAACAGGGTGGGCGACTGCTATGTGCTAAGGGGGGAACTCAGTTGGGGGATGGAAAGCAGAGGGAAAAAGAAGAAAAAGTAAATGTGGCTTCTGGGGTTTGAACCACGTATCTCATGTCCCCGATTCCACAAAACGTCATTTTAACGTTTTCGCCCAGCTGCCCCATTTTTGCCAAATGGTTTTATCAAACAAAAACATAATGACAAGTTAAACATGTTTCTTTACCTGTGTTTCCTAATTTTTGTTGTGACAACGGTTCTCTCGGACAGCAAGGTTCTGGTTGATGCACTTAAGGAAGATCCGACGAAATGGCCCTGGAGATGTTACGCAATTCTTTCCTCTATCAAAGCTATCCTAGGCAGTTCAGATCGGATCAATGTTCTCTTCACCAGTCGCCGTAACAACAGGAACGCAGATTGGGTGGCCCGGAATTGTCGAATGAATACCCTTCACCCGGATTGGCTCTCAGTGCTTAATGTTATTTCTGATCTGTTGTAATCGGGAACCTTGCTGTTTCACAGCCTCTTCGGGCTTTCAATGAATGAATCAATCCATTTTCAAAAAAGACAATGGCAAGTGAAAATGAAATGGCAAGTGAACGGGGCATTGGAGCGAAACAAACGGAAATGGTATCATCATTTCTAGAAACTTTATTTAGTCACAGAGAAACGATCAAATGATCAAACTAGCTAGTCAAGTAGTCATATTCCGGGAAACGAAGAACAGAAATTTTAGCATGCGAACTTCCTGCACGTAAAACTGTATGTTTCTTTGTGACAAAACTGTTCCCCTTTCAGAGGACCATACAACAATGAAATAATGCTTGGCCAAATGAAGACTTAAATCCCGGCCCAGCGCCTCTTTCTGGCTGGTCGTTCGAGCTTAGCCTGGCCTGTACTAACCGACGGAACAACTCGAGGTTGAGAACAAGAAGGCGGATTAAGATCGGTAGTACTTACCTTCTCTGGAAATAAGACAGGCACCTTGAAACGCTCCCTTCGTTTCTCCATCTTGGCCAACCTCTCGAGTATCCATTGTTCATCGTACACTGCCTTGGTAGTCACGGTATTACAAGAATCAGCCTTCTCGCTTTGAGGTGCTTTAACCTTCTTCGCATTGGGTTCTCCGGTTATAATCTCGCCCTCTTCGATATCTGACTCGTTCTTCTGCTCCTTTCCTTGGAACGTAGCCCCAAGCCGTTTCATAACATCATTGTTGCCTTGAGTTTGTGGCTTCTCTTGCCTTATGTTTGCTTTTCCAGAAAGAGATGCATTCAAACGCTTCTGGTTTTTCTTCTTTGGGTTACTTTTGGGAATTTGCCTCCCTGTGGTAGGCTGTTTGCCAGATAGCTGCATAGAATATTGTCAGTGGGAAACATTATGACCGAGGTTTTAAGTTTCTGCAGATAGATTTCAAACTACTACAATGAACTTAGGGTTGTCAGGATATAAAGAGCTATAAGGTTCTCCCTTGTCATGAACAATAAGCTAGGTAAAGACAAGAAACTAATTATTTTACCTGGCCTTCAAAACATTCATTCCCCTTTGAACATCAGAGAGATGATAAAGAACACAGCATAACGGTTAGACTGGACAAGTGCATGTTCAGTAATGGCATTGAAAGCAAGGGGTGTGCAATGAATCGGTTCACTGAACCAAATCAATGTTTGGATCGAATCAAACCAGACTAAACATAATTCTGTTCGGTTTTGATTCCATAGACCCTCTTAAAACCTAAGAAAGAAGAGACCAGAAGGACTAATCAGACTGGATGCAGTTTCAGATCAACCTATGCTGTTTCAGTCCGACTCCTATTGAAATCCAATACAAAAGAAGCGTGTTGCCAATTGCCATAACAACTTCGAAAATGGATGCGGAAAGTACGAGATGCAGCAGCATGTAAGACAACAAAGACATTATATGGCATGGGACGAGAAAAAAAGCAGAGCATTAAAACACGGAACAGACATCAAACATCTAGACCTAAATTTCCCCATGTTTACCTTCTCTTTCTGGGAAACCAAGCCAACTGGACCATTAACGTACATCCCAACCATCTTCTCACGCTCACATTTATATGTGAGATTGCTTTCGACTAAGTTGTCTGAATGTCTTTCTCTTAATATCTCATACCCACTTATATTTTCATGTCTGAGAGCTTTTCCATAACAAGAAAACCTATCAGGGTAGGATTGAACACCTCCATGCCTTGACTTAGATTCCTCTCCTTGATGAAGTCTCGATCTCCAAACAATTTTAGTCTCTGCAAGTTCATGTTGATCATCAAAACCACTGTCCAAATTCTCTTCACTGCCAAAGAGACCACCATAGGTACCAGAATCATATAGTTCCTTCCTCGGCCTAGAATAAGTCTCCATCACCTTTGAGTCATAAGAATCATACCTTTTAGAAATATTACCATTTTGCCATCTACTGTGATTGGTTGCATAATATCTTGTGTGAGACCTGAAGCTTGGGTCTTGATTCCTGTTGTTCCCATCCTGGTGATAGTCATTCCAATAATCTCTTTCCAGTTTTTCTTCATTCCATAGACGATCCGAATCCAGTCTAGCCTTGTCACCATGTCTAAGCCCTCTTTCACATACATTGATTTCCCTCCCTGAGAATGGACTGCACCTTCCATATTCCTCATACAATGAGCCATACCTATGTTTCGGTTGTAATTTCTCACTTATCCTTCTATCCTGACGACGTGCACTTTGATTACAATTTGCTCTGTCCCGGATATAAGTCTCACCTTCAAGACTCCGATGGCGCTTACTCTGAGGATATTCTCTATAATCAGCTTCAGCATAGCTAGCACCCCACCTTTGACCACCATCTCCAGGAAAAGTTTCTCTGAATCTGGAGTAAGAGGAATCATTCCTTTTGGGGAAGTCTAAATCACACTCATTTTTTACTCTTTGGTCTCTTCTGTTTTCACTCCTCCATGTCCCATTTAAGAGGCTGCCATCTGTAATGTGTCTTCGGTCACTATCTGTTTGTCCTGTGCCATTACTTTTACAGTGGCCAGATGAAACGGTATCATGTAACTCGGTTCCCAAAGATGAACACCTAGATACACCATGACAACTATCTTCAGAATCACTTTCAGAGCAAGATAGAGCCAAGCTAAAGTGACTTCTATCATCGATCAGTGAGTCACTATCACTCTGATGCCGATCTGACTGACTCGACCTCCTTCCAGACTCATCCTTTGAATCTCTCTCACTTTCAACGGCTTCAGCAAGATCTGAAGTTCTAGCTCGAGTTCTGCGAGGGTGATGCTCATCGGAATCAGGGATATGGTCTCTCTCACAGTTATCAAGATGCTGAGACGATTCACTCATTTCCAACAATGACTTGGACGACCTAATCATATATAAGACAAATATCGATCGTTTAACTTCTGCCATTTGTAAAGAGAAACAAGGGATTTTACACAATTATACAAATCGATTAAGCCCTTCTTGCTGGCAAATATAGAAGGCAATATAACAACAGCCAAATGAATCAACCCTTGCTAAGGAAGAATACCTAGTTCCTTCTGGAGATGGAGATCCCAAAGACACTCGATCTCCACTAGCCCCACTAGAATGGCAGGCTTCCGCCACAACATCAGCACTTCTCTTGCAGGTTTTTAACCCTTTAACACCGCTACTTTTACTGCTTAAGTCCCCCTTGCTAAATGCACTTGAATTTTCATCAAATTCCTGCACCTTGAACTGGAAAATGATGAAGCAATAAGAAAAGAGCACAACACGGTTAGCATATATATGTGGATTATGGTGGCACACAGAACTATAATATGTACCTGAATAACCACATCAGAATCCCAATTCTCTGGATACTTCTGATTCATGGTGGGAAAACGTTCACCACCACTATCTTCCACCTCAATTGCTCGACCTTTTGGCTGAAACCATCAACAAGGTGTCACACGTATCAGCATATTTACATGTATTGAAATAGAGTCTTCCAGCTCGTTCCATCAACAATAGTCATAACTATGAAATGAAACAGTAGCAGATTGCATTTTGTCCAACTCAAAGAAATTATTCTACAAGTGAGGTGTCCAGAGAAACTTGAGCCCCTTACTGTCCCAAAACAACTTACAAACTAACACTGAATAATCTTAGTCGAGCGATAGAAGGAAATCTTTGTATGACATAAGGAAATATGATAAGTATATGCTTAACATCCAAGCAGTATACTGAGAATTCAAGCTGGATGACCAGCCTAGAGTCTGAGCATCTCCTTCCAAATAATATTAATAATAATAGTCTGAGTGGCACGTCAAAATCACAACGTTGCATATTTTCTGATGATAAATTCAAGGGTGCAAGAAATTACCACACTCATACAGTATTGTCTCCAACAGTCTTCATTGATACCAAATTTGGGTAAAACAGACATATTAGCTCCCTGATACCCCCATCTTTTCCCTCCAAACGTGTCAGTATTTACATCATAAATGGTCCTGACACAAGTAAATGAAATCAAAATTTTCATTTATTGAAACTGCACAATGACGTGCATAGCAAAGGACCCAGTAAAACTCTTGTGCTCAATATACGAACACAAACCTTCCCCAAATAATTCACTTTAGACACAATATCGAACATACACATACATGTTTGACACAAAGTTTATGAAACCTGCAACCTTCACTGACATAAACGAATTACTTGTGTGTGGAAACAGAAACATAGTCGGAATTACTAACCTATACAGTGGAAGTGAGAAACCATATCCACCATGGGATACAACTGAATTGGCCGCAGCATAAACATTAGACACTTGGTTAACATCTGCCACATTGCCTTGCAAGAACTCGCTGTGTTCTAGATCCATTCTCGTTGATTGAAAAGAACGCAACGGTACAGTTCCCCAGTCATTTTGCTGCATAGTAGAACCAGGATAAGGAAACGAATAACAGAGTAATCTGCAACCCAAAAGAGTGTTCAACAAATGCAAATGAGAAGGCAAGCAAGAAACCCTTCTTGAGAGATCCAACGGAAAAAGTTAGTCAATACCAATTCTATCCCGCCATTGCTAGAAGCTTATAGAAAAAACTCTCAAAGCTTTCATTTCAAGCGAGGTTGGGCAGCTCGGGCTTTCCAATTTGTTGCTCCATGAATACCAGAGCTCAACCTTAACACCACCTCCATACAACAGTTTCTAGAATAAAAGAAAACTGAAACAAGCCATTTTGGATTTCATGCTGATCCACATAACAAATCCCTTACCAATTTCGACAGATTGGGACAGGAAGAGACGTTTCCCCCTTCTGAAATGAGTCTCGCGTTGCCAGCTTTGCTGTTACTGACCGTACCATCTACCTGGATCACAGTCTGTTGCTCCAACGGGAAGTGGAATTTGGCGGAGCTAGTCCTGGAATTAATGGCGGAAGCTGCTTGAAGTTCAACATCTGCGTATAGGTCGCCGAAGTCGTCGTCGTCGCCGCCGCCGGGGAAATCCTCCATTTGGAGCTTAAAACTAGGAAGAGCAATCGCAGGAGGAAAGAAGGATAGAGGCAAAACTGGATGCACGAAAGAAGAACCGGGCTCCTCTAGAACCCTAGCACCATTGTTGAGCAGAGGACTGAAGTCGGCAGCGAGAGCTAAAAAAAACTGTGTACACTGTACAGGAAGTTGCCAAAACCCTTTGGCTGCCCGCGCAGGCGCGCACCGCGGTAAGTAACTAGAGTGTCGGATTTAGAAATGAGGGTTTTGTAATTTAAAAATCCAAGAATTTATCAAGAATTTAAGGCATCATGGATTTGTAACAATCCTTTATTTGTTGGGATGTTTTTATCATGGATTTAAAGGTGTGAGATTTACTACTTAAAGTAAAAAATTACATTACTGTCATTTTCTATATGTTTGACATGTTTATAATATGTACACAAAACAAGGACAAAACTTCAAAATTACCTTACTATCATTTTCTATATGTTTGACATGTTTATGATATGTACACAAAACAAGGACAATAGATACTAATAAGCATAATGTTGCCACATGTACAATAATAATAAACGAGAAAATTCCGTTTTAACTTTTAACGTAACATAATCAATTACCAATTCTTTGTCCTCCTTTTCAAAAGTGACATATAACAACATATATTAGAATCGGGAGAACAAAGAATTACACGTTCCATGAAAAGGTCAAAGAAAACTAGAACACAAGAAATTATATAAAAAATCTAACTAATGTTTGCACATTAATTGAACGTTTATATTATTCATTTATTGTTAATTATAATGTATAATAGTTAAATTTGAGGGCAACCTTGAAATATTAAAAGTGCATGAGAGTATATGGGTAAAATCTCATCAAGGATCTATGCCATATTCCAAATCCCACATCAACATGTGGGATTTATAAGTCCGTGGGGTCCACGGATTTGGACCCTTAAAATCCGTGGCCCCCACGGATTTGGTCTCCAAAAAAGGTGCAAGCAAACAACGAATTGTGCCTAAATCCTTGATGGTTGGTTTTTTGGTACCAAATCCATGTACAAAATCCTTGAAGCAAACGACCCCTAAGTATTTTGCATAGCTCTGCACGTGGTTTACTCTTTCCGATTTCCCGATTTTTCTATCAAAAGCAAAAGCCAAAATGGCAATGGATCGAGCTCGACCCAATGAGCACTTTGGCCCAATTGTTTTCGCTATTGTATTGGGTTGAAAGTTGAAACCTTTGAGTACGTATTTGGATCCGAGACCATCCAATTTTTTCCTTTCTTTCTGGGCCAATACTATGGTGCCGCTATAAAAAGTGCGGCACCGGTAACGCGCTTTCTAATTGGGCCACGTGGATATGAGGTGGCACCGAACTGGGTTGATTGAATTCATTTCAAACCACTTAACCCATTGGACAAACCAAACCGTCGATACACCAAACAGACGGAACTGGTTTTCTCTTCTGCTATTTTTTTAGTTGATATTTTCCCAAATAATTCCATTTTACTTTTATCGAACTGTTTTTTTGTTGTTGCCAGAAACCAAGGAAAAAGAAACATGAGTGAACCAGCACGTCGTCGTTGATCACCGTCTCCGGTGGATTCTGCAGAAGGACCTCCGTCGTTAATCCATTCTCGGGATCTACCAAACGCCTCCACTAACTATACATTTCCTCCTTCATTTATTCTGGAACACAAGGGCGACGAATCCCGCGCCTTCACCATCCTTCTATCTCCGTGCAGCACCATCGCCATCATAGTCCAAGTTGAGCCCAACTCAACAGAGAAGAGAGTCGCCCTCCATCTGCATCATCCCCCTCGATCTCTGTCGTTCCTTATGGAATGTCGAAACCAAGCTCCTGAAGGTTCAGAGTGACTTTCCCCGCCTAATCAGAAGGCTTCCAGATAAATGGAGGGCTGTGTATTTGTGAATGTAGGAGATTATTGGGGACGTTTTAATTTGCTATGGCGTTCGAAATAGTATGTCGTGGATTCTGCAATGGGATGTTGGGTGCCTGTTTTCCCTTGTTTCTTGGTTTTAACAAGCAGCAAGGAGGTTTTATTATGTTCATCTTATCTTGTCTCTCTTCCTGTTTCTTTTTGTCAGTTAATGAAAGATAAAGTTTGTCTAATTTTCGACCTGTGCCAGCAATGTTCTTGCCCCGGTGTACCCCATGTATCCTGATTACTCGTAGATTAGTAGTTGTAGGTAAGCTAAGCCTGAATCCAAATCCATCATTTGAAACTTGTTCCATGTCAATTTCCTTAGGCCAGCAATTATATATAGCATAATAGTTAATTCTATGGTCTATAACCATGCATATTGCGTTTGGGGATTTGCTGGTTTCCAAGCTTGGCTACTCATGAGTGAAGGATTGTTTTCAAATTTCATGATCCTGAATCGTGATCGCTGCTGCTAGAGCATAAGTTTATATAGACTGAAGGTATGAACTTCTAGTTATTAATGATCAGTTGTCCACATGTCTGATGCTAACACCGGCGTCCGACAAAAGCCAGTAATCTGCATCACTCAGCATAACAAAACAAAAAATTAAAGAAACTTTAATCTCGAACCTAATGAACCAACGTACGTTTAGCTCCTTGTGCAAGCAAAATTGGTATGCTCACATCAGCATCACTAGCTAGGAACAATCTTCATGATGCCACTGAAACGATCCTCTGGGGAATTAGAACATGTTGACCCTCCATTCCTGCAGTCTCCTTTCCTTTATTACTCTGTGGATAATCTTGTCCATTTTGTGTGCCATTTCGAAGTTTTGGAGTTTGCCGATGGTCCCATTAATCAATGCTCCCAAACTAGCACAGGCAGAAATAACATTACCCATAGTCATATGAACATATTCGACCCTCTCACATAGCATTCTTTGAAACAACTTCATAGCAAGTCTTCCAACATTATTCTGCTCATATGCTGATTTTGCCTTGGACAATCAGCTCGTAACCCTACCTGGATGAACTGATTCATGGCATTGTATAGACTCAACTATGCTTTTTTTCATCTGAGCTACTTCCTCCCTCTCGTCTACATGTCCAGTACCTCCTCCATCTCTTTCTCCCGACCTCTGGAAGCTAATAAAAAACTTGGAACCCAAAAGCAGCATGAAGCAATAGCTGAAACCATCATTTGAATAGTGAAAATTCATCCGGAGACTAAAACCACCGCTGCAGATCTTAAATCAAGCAATTTTGAGCCGAGATTGAAACCCAATAATTCAAACAACGATAATGACCTAAATTCTCATACCTGGATGAACTGATTCCAAATGCTGGTTTTCCCCGAGCGAGAGAGCGGTCTCGCCGAGGAAGAAATTGATGGGGAATAATAAACGGCTACTGCAATTGGAATAACGATGGTGGTTTGGGGGAAGTAGAGGATGGTGGTAGTGGTCAATTTTTATGGAGTGGGATCAGGAATGAGAGTGGGGAAGGATCAAGGCTCACTTCGAGGCTTCCTCACAATTGATCATCGACGGCATTTCTTGGCGGCGGATAAGGGGTTCCCCGTTAGTTTGGGAGAGCCGAAAGGTGGTTTGGGTTACTTCTAATGGGCCAACGAAATTGGGTTGGTTGGGATTTGATAATCCAGTTAGTGACACGTTAGTCCACGTGGACCAATGAAAAGACGGCGTCATCGGTGCCGCATTTTTTATAGCGGCACAGTAGCATTGGCCTTCTTTCTGCAATTGAGCAATGGAAAGTGACAATATGTGGGATGTGGCTAGGGAAGGAAATGGAGCTAGGGATGGCAATGGGTCGGGTTGGGTCGGGTTTTGCCAAACCCAAACCCAAATCCATGGGTTTGTCTTTGAAAAAAATTTGGGGTAAAATCCACTGGGTTTGAAAAACTCAAACCCAACCCAACCCGTTGGGTATCCGCGGGTTCATGGGTACCCACGGGTTTTGTCATAAAAAAGTTACAATTACAAGTTCTTATCAAAATTAAAGTCAAATATCAATCTCTCAATACAAAATTATCCATATATAAAACACCATTCTAGAAAATTCAAGCAAATCACAAATTAACTATACAAATTGTTCAACACCAATCTAGAAAACTTAAGAAAATTGAAGCAAATCACAAATTATCCATAAATAACATGTTTAATTGAAAACTTCTTCCTTTCAATTAAGTTTCTTTACTCTCCACTCCATAACATCAACTTAATTCTACACAATTAAAAAGAAAAAATTAGACATGTCTCCACAAATATAAATAAGATTAGTTGTTTAGAATATTAAATATACCGAAAAAATAATTATATGAGTGGGCGGGTACCCACGGGCCGGGTTTACCTAAACCCAAACCCAGCCCAGTGAATAGTGAACGGGTTTAAACCCAAACCCGGCCCAAAACCCGTCAACACGGATTTTACCCGCGTTGACCGGATTGGATCGGGTGGGTACCCATGGGTTCGGATTTTGTTGCCATCCCTAAATGGAGCGCCCACATTATGGCGGTTAAATGGTAGGATTTAGAGACAGATCTTTCATATGCCGTTTCCTTTCCCTTTCTCATCCTCTCGAGCTTCCTCTTCAGACGCAGTCTCAACCTTCTCCTCCCCTTCTTCCTTTCTTTCTATTTCCCTTCCTCCTCAGCTTTCTTCTCATAATCACCTATCCAATTCCCAGTACAGACTTCTTACTCCGTTCAATAATTTATTTGCAGTGGCTCAATTTAGGTGACCTAGGCAGATCAATAACCCATTAAGCACTCATTGCATGTTCATTCCACCGCCCTCGCTGTGGAACTTAGAGTCTTTCTCACTTCTTCTTTCTAGTTTCCTCTTTTCTACCTGCACAAAGGACTCTATCCCAATTTAGCTTTCGGACCCTACACTCCCCTCTACGCTGATTTATCGAAACAGCAAGAAGCTACTCAATTTGGCTTGTATTAACGCTGCAAGGCTTGAATTTGGTATCCTGTTTATTGGAACCTTCGGTAAGCCTTTAGCCGCCTAAATGAGATTTAATTCTCATTTTTGAAATATCTTACCGTGAGCCTACCCTCGTGAGACTAATCTTCCAATTTTCTCATTATTCTCAGCTGGTATCAACTTAGTAAATTTCTCCTCAAGTTTACGGTTGGGAAAGAAACCAGATTTCTTATTGGAATTACTAAGTTTTAGCATATTCTCCTCGGGAATAACATATTCTTCTAATTTCATATTAGGACTAGAATCAATACCCGTGACTACGACCACAGGTACTAAAG